CTATGCCAGTTTGTCCTTTCACATTTTTGGTGTTTCTCTCTGAATCTCCATTTCTCTTACTGCTTCTATCTAATATTTTTACATTAACCTCTTTTTCTTAATAGCATAAATGAGTGATTTTTAGTTTTTCTAACTGGGTCACCATACCACCCTATGCTTGTAAGTTATGTCAAGTTATATTTTCTGGCCTTGTCTTCTCATTATGGTGATTATCATTTTTAGAGCCCTTACTCTCAAATGCAAATTCTGAATGCTCCCAAACAGATTAAACCATGGTGTTCTTAAATCTGTATACAAATAATCTATTCAATAAACATTTGTTAAGAGCCTACAATGTGTCAGTGTTGTGCTAGCTTCTATGGATACAGAGATAAGAATAAAAATGTTCCTATATTCAAGGGTCTTAAATTCTATTGGGAAAAGACAATTGACTCATGAATTAACAAGGATATGTGTGTGTGTGTCTGTCTCTGTGTGTGTATGTGTGTGTGTGTGTTTAGTACAAAATTATTTCAAGGTAGCACTAACAATTGCAGATATTAAGAAAGGTGTCTTGTTGGAAGGGATACTTGAGTTGATTCTCAAAGACCTAAGGGTTCCAAGGAGCAGAGGTGAGAAGTGAGAGAATTCTAGGTATGAAAGAGAATCTGTAGAAGCCCAGAATGCCATTTCCAGGGAACATCTAGTAGGATAGTTTGCCTACAGTATAGAATGTTTGTGGAAGATTGAGATGAAATTAGCCCCAGAAAAAGAAACAAAGAAGCATTAGATTGACAAATAGATGGCAGAACATTTATTAAGCTTTTACTGTATACACAATACTATACTAATCACAAAGGATACAAATATAAGAAAACAAGATAGTCTCTGAACTCAAGCGGTTTCTATTCTAAGGAGGGAGGACAATATATAAAGGATATCTGGAAAGGAGGATGGGAGTGTATCCACAGTGGTGTCACAGAGTGGAGTTGAGTGCTTCATGGTCGTGAAGTGGGACAGAGGTCTGGAAGCAGGATAAGGTGAAAGTTCCCCTGTTCACATCTGCTAATGGTCAGACTGTGAAAGTCATTAACTGTCTAAAGGAGGAGTTTGTTATTTTATCCAAAGGCAAGAATCACAGAAGCTTCTTGAAGAGTGCCATGGTCACACCTGTACTCTTGGGAGTTGATGGGATTACCAAAACAGAGCAACTATGGAGTGAAGAGAAGAAGCAAGGCCTAAAACAGAAGCCTAAGACATGAACACATATAGGAAACAGGAGATGTAAGATAATCAAACAATGGAGACTAAGAAGGACCTTGAAATGATAAATAATTTTGGTCAGAATTACTCTGGGGCTTGAAATTTTGATCTCATTCTAAAGCTGGAAAATATGCAAGAAAAAATTTTAAGCTATATGAAAATCTCATCACATTGAATAGATAACACTTTAATTTTTTGTTTTTAGTAGTGAGTGTTACATGTTTCTCTGTTTTAGTTTTAGTTTTAGGTAATTTTTTTTGCCATTGATGTTTCTATCAAATAGTTTCCTAATCTAAAAGGGGAATATTGCATTCCTAATGTATAGTCCTTTGCCATTCTTTCTTCTTTGAGATCAACATTTGTTCTGTGATGGCTTTAAGAATGACTTTTAGAGAATAACCATGAGAAAATATGTTGCTAAAACATCTAAATTTACTACCATTTGCTTATAAGGCTACCTGTGGCTAACTGGGTAAATAGTTTAAAATAAAAATCTATCATATGGATGATACTACAGTTAAGTGCTGTTTTTACAAATCAACTAATGAACTGATTAATAGATTGAACAGCTTCTATGCTGGCCAGGGGCTGCTAAACAGGTACCTCTACTGTAGCCACTATGGAACATTTACCATCTTGTTGCATCTCCCAGGGACTAACCAAATGATCTGATTTATTGAAAGACAGCAGCCAAATTGTTGCTTCCAAATAGGTCCATGTTGAAAGCCCCAACACATTATGATGCCCAGAGCCAAAATATTGTAAATATTTATTCTCTATATACTTGTATATACAGAGAGGCAGGGATAGGGAAGTGACTTCTAAAACCAGGAAAACCTGGTTTCAAGTCCTGACTCTAACACCCTCTGGCTATATGACTTTAGGCAAGCCACTTAATATATAAGTGCTCTAGGCAACTTTCAAACTAAGTTTCGGACCTGCATTGGTAGAGGGAGACTCTTACTGGGCCATCCCTGTAATGAAAGAACCCCCAGTTCCAGTAAAGCTCTATACTTACATAAGGATATGTCTCTCTGAAGAAAATACAATTTCCTGGAGAGTAGGGATTATTCTATTTTTTGCATTTGTATCCTCAGATCTCAGTGAGGTCCCTGGCACATAGTAGGTATTTAATAAGTCCTTGTTGAACGATTTAATGACTGATTGATATAGTACTCTTGCTGCCTTTGGCTGATGTAAATAATTGTTGGGCTAGTGTTAGCGACTGTTTGACTGGTATTAAAGGCAGCTTCGATGATTTTTACCAGTCAAGTGAAGAACATTCATTATCTGCTAACACCCAATGACCAAGATAGCAGAAAAGAATTTTTTTGACTAGCAATTTCATACCTTCCTTAAAGTCCTAATTATGTCTGAGCCTATGGAAATCTGCTAGAGGAAAAAACTCCAGAAGGCTGAACCATTGGAATTTCCAGTGAACTAGGTGATGTTGATTAATATGCCCTAAATCCTTTCACTGTATTTTGAAGGCAGTGTGGGAGAATTTCTGAATGCAGCAATGAAAGTGTTTAGTTGTGTGCAACGAAAACAGGCACAGACTGCAGCAAGAGCCAAGATCCTGCAGAGAGCTAATGATCATTTTGAAGCTTACAATTTGCTGCATAGTTGGGGTTTGAACAGTTTGACTCTGCTGGCTTGTTCTCTTCTATCTACAAACCTACTCAGATTTTCCCTTCATCTTGCCACCTCTTTAAGTTGCATCGCTAGCTAAGGATATGTATAAATTGATAGACAGATGGATATATGGGTACAACTAGGTGGTACAATGGCTAGAGTTCTGGGCTTGGAACCAGCAAGAACTGAGTTCAGTTATAGCCAAAGACACCTACTAGCTCTATAACCTCCAGTAAATCTCTTAACATCTATTTGTCTCAGTTTCTTCATATGTAAAATGGGGGTGATAATAAACGCATGTATCAGTGTCCAGCACAAAGCAGCTACTACATAAGTGCTAAATAGTAGCAGGAATAGGCAGCTAGGTGGCACAGTGCATAGAGTGCCAGGCCTGGAGTCAGGAAGACTCATCTGCTTGAGTTCAAATCTGACCTCAGATACTCTGTGACCCTGGACAAGTCACTTGACCCTGTTTGCCTCAGTTCCTCATCTGTAAAATGAACTAGAGAAGGAAATGGCAAACCACTGCAGTATCTTTGCCAAGAAAACCTCAAATGGGGTCACAAAGAGTTGGACACAACTGAAAACAACTAAATGGACAGTAGTAGTAACACCATCATCATTATTGTTATTCCATGCATGTATGAAAAACAGACGTGTATGAATATGTATCTAGACACACCTGTATACAACATACATGTATACCTATGTGCCTTTGTGTTACATCCTAGATACTGCAACCTGCTTCCTCATCTCTGACCCCATTTTCTATCTATGAACATACTGCACACCAAAAACAAGATTGCAGCATTTTAACAACCTGTGATTTGCCTGGGAAAGTTCTTTACCATTTTATACCTATTTTGAGCTAAGAAATGTCACAAAGAATCAATCTGATCATAGATTCACAGAAGAGCTGGATATAGGTCATCTAATTTAATCCCTTTATTTTCTGGGCAAGAAAATTGAAATCTAGAGAAGAAAAATAACGTGTCTAAGGTCACATAGACTGTTAGTAGCAGAACTAGGACTGGGACTTTGGTCTCTCAGTCTCCAAGTGCAATGTTCGAAATATTTGCCTAATTTTCTCTTTATATGTGTGTGTCAATAACTTCTTTTTTTTTTCAACCGATTCAACTTTTTATTAAAATAAGCTTTATATAGTCTTTCACTGTACCCAAGAGTTTTTGGACATCCAGAGAGAGCAGCTTTCATATTATACTTAGGAGAATGCAATGCATACACACATCTGCATGATACAGTTCTGTACAAAATGGCATTTTAATTTTTTTCCTTTTTTAATATTTTTATTAATTTATTTTGATTTGTCAACAATTACTTCCAAAATCTTTTGAATTTTAAAATTTTCTCTCCCTCCTTCCCCAAGATGACATGCAATCTGATATAAGCTATACATATACATTCCTATTAAACATATTTTCACATTAGTCATGTTGTAAGGAAGAATTAGAACCAATAGGAGGAACCACCAGAAAGAGGAAACAAAACAAAACAGAAAAAAAAAATAGCAAATAGTATGCTTTGATCTGTATTCAAACTCCATAGTTCTTTCTTTGGATGTGGATAGCATTTTCCATCATGAGACCTTTGGAGATGTCTTAGATCCTTGCATTGCTGAAAAGGGCTAAGTCTATCCATGTTAGTCATCATACAACATGGCTGTTACTGTGTACAATGTTCTGCTGGTTCTGCTCACTTCACTCAGCATCAGTCCATACAAGTCTTTCCAGGTTTTTCTGAAGTCCGATTGCTCATCATTTCTTATAGCACAATAGTATTCCATTACATTCATATACCACGACTTGTTCAGCCATTCCCAATTGATGGACATCCCCTCAATTTCCAATTCTTGGTCACCACAAAAAGAGCTGCTATAAATATTTTTGTACATGTGGGTCCTTTTCCCATTTTTATGATCTCTTTGGGATACAGCCCTAGAAGTGCTATTGCTGGGTCAAAAGGGTATGCATGTTTTAACAGCCCTTCAGGCATAGCTCCAAATTGCTCTCCAAAATGGTTGGATCATTTCACAACTCCACCAATGCATTAGTATTCCGAACAAAATGGCATTTTTTAAAAGTAACTGTAAACTATACTCTTTCTCAACAAACCTGCACTATCATGGAAGTCACAATGTTATCAAACGCCCTAAAATGAATATGGTCTCCTGGATTATAGAAGAGGTTGCACATGACATCTGTGTAGCAATTAGGTAGCTTTCAAGACATACTTTGAATTTCATTGTCTCAAAGTGCTGTATGGTAGAAATCCACCACCATAACAAACTTCACCTTGGAATCTGTCACATAGCCATATACTTTGTAGCTTTCTGTGGGGTTCAGAAATCCCAGATACAGCTCCCTCTGATCCATGAGGGCCTTTCCCATTTCAGAGACCTTCTTGTTTACCATATCAAGAGATGTGTGCACCATGTAATGGAACTTCAGCTCATGCTCTGCAGGGATGCTTCAGATGCCAACAACTCTTTTGGAAGATGGAGGGATCAAGTTTTTGGAAAAGCTTGCTAAAGACTAATGTGAACTTTGGTGCTACTTATTCCTTCAATTAAACAAGTGATTTTTAAGCATCTACTATGTACCAGGCAATACGCTAGGCCCTAGAGATAGAAAACAAAGAATGAAACAATCCCTACTCATTAAGCAGCTTACATTGTAATGGGGATACAAGTACATAGAAAATATATGGCATAAATATAAAGTTGAAAAGGGTATGTTTATTTAGCACATATATATGTACATTTGTACATATGCATATATGTATATATATATATTATATATGTACATTTATAAATAAGGTTGTTTGGAAAGGAGAGGTACTAGCTAGCAATTGGGATGTTCAGAAAAAAGTTTCATGTAGATGATGGTGTCTGAGTTGTAAATTAAAAAGAAGAACTTTATAAGGCAGAGATAAGGAGGGAATACATTATAGGGATACAGGATGGCAGGACAAAGATTCAGAAATAGAAGAAGGAATGAGGAACAAATCCAATTTTGACCAAGTGTCAGAACGAGAGAGAGAGAGAGAGAGAGAGAGAGAGAAAGAGAGAGAGAGAGAGAGAGAGAGAGAGAGAGAGAGAATAATATCCACTAAGAAAGTTAGGCTGGGGCCAGATTGTGTAGGACTTTGAAAGCTAAACACAGGAGTTTTGGGTTTTTTTGTTTGTTTGTTTGTTTGTTTGTTTGTTTGTTTTATAGTACACGCAAAAGGAAGTCACTAGAATGGGTGAGTCACAAGGTCAGATCCGAACTGCTACTTTCCTGCTTTATGGAGTGGATCCTTACTCCCTTAATTCAGGTCTTAACTCCTCCTTGACTTAATAATTAACCTTCTAGAGTTCCCATAGCTAAAAATCCCATCATCCTGCAGCCTGCCAACATGGGAGGAGGCTTTCTGAGCTAACCTAGACTTGGTTGATGGTTCAGTTGATTTTTGGTTGTGTGCTTTTCTTGGCAAAGATCCTGGAGCAATTTGTCATTTCCTTCTCCAGCTCATTTTACAGATGAGGAACTGAAACAAACAGGATTAAGTGGCTTTTCTAGGGTCACAACACAGCTAGTAAGTGTCTGAGGCTAGATTTGAACTTATGAAGATAAGTCTTCCTGACTCTACTATCTGCTCTGTCCACTGAGTCTAGGCTAACCAATAGAGAACTCATTCCTGGGCCTATACTAAAAGACTTTCCAGTATAGTAGGACATGGGAGACTTTGTGCTTGGCTGGCTGAGTCTGCAGTTAATCCTATACCACTCTGAGGGTACAGAAGAGGACTTGACTGAAGGGAGATTGTGCCTATAATTATAATAATGACAACTCATATCTTCTCTACTGAAAACTTCTTTAGATGCCCCATTCTGGGATGATGGTGTGATCTCAAAGGTCATATCAGTAGAACCCAAGCCCTAGCATTTTTCACCAAGGTCAAAAGACTTTATGTGGGGTCCATATGATATATCACTAAACTTAGGACAAGGAAAAAGATTCAGAAAGTTTCTTCACCAGAAATGTGGCTAAGACATCATAACTTTCCAAATAGTAGCTAACAATGACATAACATTTTAAGGCTTACAGTGTCTCATTCAATCCTCACAGTAATTCTTAGAGGTAGGTGCTATTATTATCCCTATTCTACAAATGAGGAAACTGAGACTGAAAGTGGTGAAGTGGCTTAACCAAGGGTCACATTGCTAATAATTGTCCAAGGAAGGATCAAAACTCAAGTTTCCCTGACTCCAAGTCCAGCGTTCAATCCACTGTCCCACCACAGCAGATTACCAGTGATTCTTACTTTTTTTCTGAATACTATCTTTTCTCTGGGTTTTGTGGCAGTACTCTCTCTTGCCAATCTGAACACTCTTTTTCAGGCTCTTTTGAGGACTCTATCCATATCATGCCTTGTAATGGTGGGTATTCTCAAGATGCTGTCCTAAGCCCTCTTTGCCTCTTTACGTATATTCTGACTTGGTGAACTCCTCAACACCCACGGACTTAGTTTTAATCTCTTTGCTAATGACTCCCAGTTTATATATCCAGCCCTAGTTGTTTTCCTGAGCCTCAGCTGTGAATTACAAAATGCCCATTAACTATTTCAAATTACATGTCTTATAGATATCTGAAACTCAACATGTCCAAGACAGAGTTCTTTGTCTTTCCATTCAAACTCACCTATCATTTGAACTTCCATATTTTTAGTCAGCAAACCACCATCCTTCTAGTCCCAAATGTTTGCAACTCAGATGTCATTCTTAATTCCTTAATCTACCTGACATTACCGGCAGATCCAATTACCTGCCAGATCTTCCCAGTTCCACCTCCACAATATCTCATATCCATCTACTTTTCACTACTAACATAGACACAACTTTAATTCAGTCCCTTATGACCTCTAGCACAGACCATTGTAAATGACTGTTAATTGACTCAATTGGCTGAAATTTCTCCCTACTCTAACCATCCTCTATATGGCTAGGAAAGTGATTTTCCTTAAGCATAGGTATGACCATGTCTTTTCCCTTCCAAACTACCATGGATTCTTATTGCCCAAGAATAAATATAAATTTATTTGCTTGGCTTTTTTATTTTTAAATGTAACTTTTTATTTTATTTTTTTCACTTAACAAGCATTTATTTTCTCTCCCTCCTACTTCCTCCTCCCCATTGGAAAAAAAAAAAGCCCAGTCCTTGTAACGAATAAACACAGTCAAAACAAATTCCCACATTGGTCATTTCCAAAATGTATGTCTCATTCTGCACCTGTGGTCTATCACTTCTCTGTTAGAAAGTTCATCACTGGTCCTCTGGAATCATGGTTGACCATTGCTGTGATTAGAGTTCTCAAGTCTTCAAAGATATTTGCCTTTACAATATTCCAATGGTCTGATAGATAAGGGGATGGAATCTCAGAGAACTATAACGCATGCCATTTCACTGTCAAATATAGTGAGAGTTAATGGCTGGGGAAGGATGGAAGCCCAGGTTTCCTGACTCCTAATCTGGGCCTCCTTCCAATCTTTTTAAAAATTGTTATTTATTTTTAATTTATGGAATAAAACAAGCATTTCCATAACATAGTGTAATAAAAAGATGATTGCACATGAAACTGCAAATATATTGTGTACAAATTCTTATTCCTTTTAAATATATAATAAAGTTATCATGTAAATTTCTTTATTTTTCCTTTTTTTATCCCCCCCACCTTAAAAGCCCTTGACTTTTAAAGCTGTCCAAAACCATCCTCCAACCTACCTTTGTAGCTTTATCATCATTCTCCTTCATGCATACTATAAAGCCACTAAAAACTGGCTTTGTTAATGTTCTTCATGCATGACACTATCTCAGCACTATTGTATTGGGTGTTCTCCATATTTAGAATGTATCTTTCAAGGCTCAATTCAAGCAATACTTTTCTTGACTCTCTCACCTGTTAATTCCTTTCCTCCCCAAGCTCCATATATTTATTTTTTATTTATTCTGCACATATTTATAAAAATTCTTGTCTTTTCTAATATGATGTAAGCCCCTGGAGGGAAAGTTGTTAAGGGTAAACCCAATATCAATACTCCCTCAGTTCATGCTCAATGTTGGGACAAAATGAGATATTCACAAGTTGTTGAACAGTTAACAAAGGATTTCTTTTGCCCTAACAAGACTATGCAACAGATTCTCTGGATGCACTGCACATACACACACACACACACACACACACACACACACACACACACACACACA